GCCTGGGCTACAGAGACTCTGTCTAAGGAAGGGAAGGGGAGGGGAGGGGAGGGGAGGGGAGGGGAGGGGAGGAAAGGGAGGAAAGGGAGGAAAGGGAGGAAAGGGAGGAAAGGGAGGAAAGGGAGGAAAGGAAGGAAGGCAACTTCACATTATAAGATAAACCTCAAACAATAAATATAAGAAAAACAAGCATTGAGTTCCGTTCCTTGAGGTTACATCTTTCGGATCCACTGCCTTCTTGTGGAGTTCCAGAAGTGCCCTTTCAAATAACTGTGAGAATGGGCTGGGAATGAGGAGGGGGTTGGCATGCACTTGTCTAAGCATATTTGTAAATAAAGCAAAAAGCAATTTAAAGGGGAGTCTGTGGTAGGGTTTTGTTTTGTTTTTTGAGACGGAGTTTCACTCTTGTTGCCCAGGCTGGAGTGCAAAGGCGCAATCTCAGCTCACAACCTCTGCCTCCCGGGTTCAAGTGATTCTCCTGCCTCAGCTTCCCGAGTAGATGGGATTACAGGCATGCGCCACCATACCCGGCTAATTTTGTATTTTTAGTAGAGATGGGGTTTCTCCATATTGGTCAGGCTGATCACCGACCTGAGGTGATCTGCCCGCCTCGGCCTCCCAAAGTGCTGGGATTACAGGTGTGAGCCACCGTGCCTGGCTGTGGTAGGTTTTTACACATGAATAAGACTATCCAAAATGCCTTCTAATATTCAAGCATTGGATGTATTGCTATGTTTGCAAGCCTCTGAGCCCCCTTCTAAGAATTTTCACAGGGAGCTGGGCAGCGGGAGTGGCAGCCATGTTGGTACAATGTGACCTTGCCCCCAGTGTCATCTGATTGGACCAGAAAGAGACATCTGACTCAGGCTGGCCAATTAGATCCTCTCTCCCAAGAATTTTTCACTGGAGAGAAAGGATGCAAGGTAGTATAGGCTGGTCTCTTAAACTAAGAGCATCCCAACTGAAGAGCTTTGGCTTTGCAGCAGTCAAGAAGAAACACACAACACCAGACTGCAGAGAGAAGGAAGGAAGTAGACATGCTGAGAGGCAGAGAGGAGGGCCGCAAAATAAGAGACAGGAGAAGACCATGGAGGCACAGAGAGGAGGACACTGGAGCTAAGTAGCTGACTTGATTTTTGCTGCTCTTCTGGTTTAGGTTCTCGTCAAGCCATCATGAGATCCAGCTGTGCGTCTTATTTTTGGGCTCCTCAGATGATTCTAGACCTTCATCCTATAATCTTCTTCAACATTCTGCGGATGCTAGCTAGAAGGGCATCTGTTACTTGCTGTTTCAGAAACAAGGGCTGCAAAATTCAGTGGCTTAAAACAAGAGCAACACTTACTTTTCTTACAAATCTGTAATCTGAACAAGGCTTAGCATGGACAGCTCATTTCCACTCCAACTTGGTTTCAGCTGACAGCTTGAAGGCTGACACTCGCACATGCCTGATTCTTGGGTTGCAAAGACTCAAGCAGTTGTGGCTGGAAGAGTTGTGGCTGTATAGGAACCTCTCTGTTTCTCTGTGGTCTCTTTATCATGGTAGCTTCAGGATAGATGGACTTTCCCATGGAGGCTAAGGGCTCCGAATGCACAGGTCCCAAGGAGAGAGCCAGGTGGAAGCCACATTGCCTTTTAGTACCCAGCCTCTGAAGCCATGCAATGTCATTTGATCTCATTCTATTTGTGGAAGCAGTTAGAAAAATCCACCTTAGTTGAGGGACCCCATCTCTCAGTGAAGGAATGTCAGCATCACATTTTTTTTTTTTTTTTTTTTTTTTTTTTTTTTTTTTAATGAGACGGAGTTTCGCTCTTGTTGCCCAGGCTGGAGTGCAGTGGTGCGATCTCAGCTCACTGCAACCTCCGCCTCCCGGGTTCAAGCGATATCCTGCCTCAGGCCTCCCAAGTAGCTGGGATTACAGGTTCCTGCTACCATGCCCTGCTCATTTTTTGTATTTTTAGTAGAGACGGGGTTTCACCCTGTTAGCCAGGATGGTCTCTATCTCCTGACCTCATGAGACCCGCCTCGGCCTCCCAAAGTGCTGGGATTATAGGCGTGAGCCACCGCGCCCGGCCAGGTGCTACACACTTTTAAACAACTAGATCTCATGATAACTCACTATCACAAGAAAAGCCCCCAGGGGATGGTGCTAAAGCATTCATGAGAAACTGCTCCCATAATCCAATCACCTCCTACCAGGTCCCACCTCCAACACTGGGGATTACAGTTTGACATGAAATTTGGGCAGGGACACAGATTCAAACCTTATCAAAGCATACCCTTTCTTGTTTGTATAAGAAACAAGAAATGAGGTTTCCCTCCAACTGGAGCCTTCTCAATCTCCTCATAAATAATCCAGCTTTTCAGGGTTCAAAATACTCCAGAGCTATAAAGTAGGGACTGCTGAAAGATGTATTAACTCCTCCAGGCCTCCAAGGTGCTATTTAAAATGTTATTGCTTCATATCCCGTAATAGATGCTGAAACCTTATTGATGGCCTTTCTCCTGATTGTTTGTATGTGGAGGTTGAAGGTTTGGAAATAAAGAGTTGGTGAACTAGAACAGGACACTGAATTAACTCTTTCAGCAAGGCTTAAAATAAAGGAGTTTAGTCATATAAACTAAAGCCTAAAAGATACTGAAGCTTCCAGAATGAATCAGTAGCTAAGGCAGTGTTATTAGATGCAATAATTACTGGAGGGGTGAAAACCTTGTTGATGCTGACTGAGAACAGGTACATTTAATACTTCTTTTATAGCAACATTTCCAGTACTGTACTAATACGAATATTAACCTAGTGTCTGTGTATTAAAATATGCACATTCTGGTTATATAGAAGAAACTTCAAACTGCCATCTTTTTTTTATTAATAAAAGGTTAATCAGGTTTATGTTAACATCTTCAATTCATAGATTGGTCTGTTTGCAATAGGGAAAGAAATGAGAAAAAACCATAGGGGCTAGTGTGCATTGGGAGGAGGGGGCAAGTCAGAATTGGAACAAAACCGTTCTACTAAAATAAAAAACTAGGGGGGGGGGGCGGTAGGCTATGGAGGAAGAGAATGGGTAACCTGGAGGGCTCAGACTGAGATCCCACTCCCCACCCCTAAGAAAAAAAAAAAAAAAAAAAAAAAAAAAAATTCTACCTATAATAATAAACAAATGTGCATGAATATAGAGGCAACCTGAATAGTAGGTATATTTTGGATCTGGTGTAACTAGATACATGGGAAGAAAGCCCTGATTTGTAGCATTTGCCAAGCTATATGGTGCAAATATTTCTACCGTGGCTGACTTCTAGCTACCCACATGGCATCACAGAATGCAAAGTTGGGAGGAGGTACACCCAGTTAGTTCTGTGAGATGTATGAGCCAGTCCTACATCATTGTTTATAATTCTTGGAAAGCCAGTTGGGTGGTAGGTACTTGGATAAGCCGCCTTATAATACTATAGGAAACAAGGGCAAATTTTATTGGCAAGGTCCATGGCAGAGTCATGTAATGTGCATTGAATCTCCGTTTACTCCCTGACAATTCTCATTGGCCAATGGAATGGGAGCAAAGATGAAAACATTTAAAAGTTGGGTTGCAACCCCTCAGCCCTCTCTTCCCTTACTACTGCCATCAAAGAGGTCGCATTCCCAATGGTGCAGATACAAGATGGTGGAACCCATGTCAACCTGGTTCCATGAATGTCTGTGTGGAGCCCAGTGCCCATTCACCTACATTGGGTATGTATGATGCTTCAGGTTGCTACTGCTGCCTAACAAGCCATCCCATACAAAATGGTTTAAAACAACAATTTGTTGTTACTTCTCCAATTTTGTGAGTTGGCTGGGCTCACCTGGGGAGTTCTTACTCACTTAGAGTCTGTCCTGTGGTTGTGGTCAGATGGTGACTGGGTCTGGGGTGCTTAGGAAGCTTGACTGGGATTGAACTAAAGATGCTTCTTTGCTTATGTCTGGCACTTTGGTGCTCCTCTGCATAGAGGTTCATTCTCTAGACATTTTATATCGTGAATGGCTCCAAATGCAATATCAGGAAGTGCCAGGATTTCTAAGGCACTGGGAGAGCCACAGTGTCACTTCTGCCACACTTATTTCTGCACACTTCCTTGTTTAAAGTGAGTCATGGGATCATGCAGAGTCAGAGTAGGAGGTAACTTTCCAAGGGTGTGATTACCAGGAGGGAAGAGTCATTGGGAGCCCTTTCTGGAGACTAGCTACCACGTACCATGAATAAGAAATAAACCTTTGTCATGTTAAACCACTTAGATTTCAGGGTTAATTTGTTCCCTTGGTAAAAACCTAGCCTAATCTGACTAATCCAATAACTGGTACTGTATTAGTGATGTTAAGCTAGAAAAAACAAACCCCCAAATATCTGTGGCTTAACACATAGTCCTCTGGGGATCTGATGACTCTCTAGGACTGCGGCCTTCTAATGGTGACTCAGGGGTCCACGCTGCTGGTCTTTTGTTGGTTCACCGTCCAGAACATGTGACTTCTACCTACCTGGGGCAGAGGAAAGAAATCCTGGGAGACTCATAGCTCTTCAGTACCTGTGGACCAAACTAGTCATGTGCCCCTCACTCCAGCTACAAGCAGGCTGAAAAATTGCGGGCAGCATGTGGGCATTTGGTGATTAGTAAATGTCTTAATCATAATATTATGTGGGATTCTTGGCCTCTTTTTTTCCTCCCTTCCCCTTATCTCATCCTCTGTAAGAAATTTAAAAGAAAGAAAGAGAGAGACAGAGAGAAGGAAGGAGGGAAAATAGGAGGGAGGGAGGAAGAAGGAAGGAATGAAAGAGGCGAAGGGTGAAAAAATGGGAAGGAAGAATACCAGAAGGAATTTGCTCTATAGGATGTAAAATGCAACCACTAAAACTACCAACAAAACACACTATCAGCAGATTACTGCTAAATAAAACTATAACAAGAACTGTAATAGCAGAGGCTTTCACTGTGTTTTTAACCTGTTTCATTTTTCTTTTTAATCAGCGATGATAAGGAAACTAAACTGGATTAAGTGCTATCATCTTGGAGGGTGCCAAAGGCAAACAAGGAGAAAGAAGTGATTGAAGAGCACTTCAGAAAGCCTGGTACATTTCAAATCAGCAGGGGCTTGATTACTCGCATCCCAGGGACACTTAAGTGAATTGGCAAATATAATTGCAAGACCACCAGCCTTTATTTTAGAAAATGAAGGTTGGACAGAAGAAGGTCCTGACAAGTTAGAATCAGGCAGATGGAGTACCTGTTTTTTAAAACAGGGAAAAGACAGCTGTAGTAATTATAGACTATTCAGCTTATCTTGGATACCTGGGAAGATACAAGAGCAAATCATCAAACAAATCAATTTGCAACCACCTAGAAGGAGCACAAGGGTACTGGGTCGTAATCAACATGATTTTGTGAAGTGCAAATTATGCCACACCAATTTAATTTTATCTATGGTAGAGTGATGAGCCTGGCAGAAGAGGGCAAAGAAATATCTACAACCGGACTTCAATAAGGTTTTCTATTTTTATTTAAAATATTCCATTTCCTGGCATTTCAGCATCAACCTTCTGAGAGGATGCTATCTGAACAGCAGTTGGGTAGGTTATGACGCTGGGTAAAACACTCAAAATGGTAAAAACAAGGATTCTACTCCCAGGCTGACATAGTTAGTAGTAGTAGTTATTATTATTTTAATTCAATTGATGTAGACAAAAAGTGACAGTAGCGTGGTGAAGATGGCATTCTCCATCACTGATGAGACCATATGACAGAAAATAGGCGATTTGTAAAAACCCATTTAAGAGGTCCAACAGCTAAGTAATATGAGATCCAGAAGTGGAGAACAGACAAAATGCATAAGGGACATTACTAGAGAAATTATATAAGAAAATTTTCCGAGAAAAGGACACATTTTTACATTAGAATAACCCTCTAAGTGCAACAGTGATAAATGGGGAAGATAACCCACTTGGACATAATTTTGTAAAATTTTTAGAACTCTAAGAATAAACAAAAGTTTTTGAAAGCTTCCAGATAGGAAGAATTAGGGCCACCTATAGAGGAATGAAATTGAACAGCCAAATTCTCATTAACATCTCTGGCTGCTGGAAGATAATCGAGTAGTCCTTTTAGTTCTGGGGGAAATTAAATTTGAAACTAATTTACATATCCAGCCTACCTATCAATCAACTGTGAGGGTAGAATGTAGGTGTTTCATACCAAACCAGGGCTTGTAAAGGACTCCTTTTTTAAGTTATTTGAGCATGTATTCCAGCAGGATGACGAAGTTATCCAAGAAAGATTAGGCAAGGGATCTTTCTAACACAAGAAAGGAAAGTAGTGTGTGATTTAAAAAAAATATATCCATTTTGAAGTAGGAGGACAAAGAGTTCCAAAGAGAAGGACTCTGGGGCAAAAGTATTGCATGCAGTCCATAGTGTTTACTAGGAGAACAACAACAAAGTTTTAGTATAGGCCTGGCGTGGTGGCTCACGCCTGTAATCCCAGCACTTTGGGAGGCTGAGACGGGCGGATCACGAGGTCAGGAGATCGCCCTGGCTAACATGGTGAAACCCCGTCTCTACTAAAAGTACAAAAAAATTAGCCGGTGCTGTGGCAGGCACCTGTAGTCCCAGCTACACGGGAGGCTGAGGCAGGTGAATGGGCGTGAACCCAGGAGGCGGAGCTTGCAGTGAGCCGAGATGCCCCACTGCACTCCAGCCTGGGCGACAGAGAGGAGTCTGTCTCAAAAAAAAAAAAAAGTTTTAGTATAAATATAACTATATATTTAGTCAATAAAAAGATAGGAAATTAATAATTCCAGAAAAACCAAAAGCTAATTGAGTATGTTATGGCCCAATTTTAGAAGAATAATGTATAATTTTCAGTAATTTAGGGAGTGTGAGAAAAAGACTAGTACATGGTGCTAAGACATTTTTCATTGAATATATGAAGGGTATGATAAACATATGAAGGGGTATGATAAATATATGAAGGATATGACACTGCCCTCATAGAGAGGAAAATTGCATTCCTACTATGCTACCTAGTTCAGCAGTGCACAATATTGATGTATGTCTTACTAATGTAATTACTTTTTGTTGTCGTTGTTGTCCCTTAACTACAGTCCACCATCCTGTACATTAGATCTCTAGAATGTATTCATCTTCTAAGTTAAAGTCATCCTTTACACTCAAGTAAGGACAAGTAAGGAAGATCTTGGTTATGTTGCAAAAAAAAGGCAGCATTATTCTTCATAATATAAAAGTATAGGTAACAAAAGGTGGGAAATGGAAAGTTAAGGAAATATGAAGAGAAGGATAGTATCATAGATACCTGCAACTTCTATAATCTGAAGTCAGGATACTGACTCAAGTTTTTGGAATGAAAAATTGAGGTGTAACATACTATTTAAAGTTAAAGGGTAACCACAACAAAACTTAAAAATAATGACATAACTACCTAACACTGAAGGAATTGGAAGGAAGAAGAAAACATAAATGAGCTAGGTTCTTATCTTTTATACCTGCAGGCCATTAGATAACCAAGAAATTGGAAAGAAGAGTGATTTTTCCAAACACTTCATATATTCAAAGCATGCATAAGTCATGAGTAGTTTTTTTGTAGGCAGGTCTGTATGGTCATGGGACAGGTGCAGACAATCTCTGTAGCATAGGGACACATTGTGTTAGGAATGATCTTGCAGCCATAGCATTTTTTCCATTTCATTATCCATACCCAGTTATAAGATTGTATTTGCAAACTTAAAGTTGTATTTGCTTTAATACTCTCTCAAATTTTCCCGGAATTATCTTTGATATTTCACAGAGTACTGTCTCCAAAATTTAATAGCTTGGTCCATGGCCATGTGGCTTTATCTAGTGTTTTATTGTCTCTGACTTCTGTTCCAAAAGAATATATTTTCAAGATTGGGTTATTGTTCTCACTGAATTAAATGCTCACTGGAACTTGCTCCTTAGATGACCTTGTTATAGAATAAAAACTATTTAAAAATTATAACTCTAAAAATTAAAATAATAGGCCGGGGTGGTGGCTCACGCCTGTAATCCCAGTACTTTGAGAAGTTGAGGTAGGAAGATCACTAGAGCCCAGGAGCTTGACACCAGCCTGGGCAACAAAGTAAGACCTCCTTTCTACAAAATATTATTATATTTTTTAATTTGATGAACTTTTTTTTTGAGACAAGTTTCGCTCTTGTTGCCCAGGCTGGAGCACAATGGCACGATCTCGGCTCACTGCAACCTCCGCCTCCCAGGTTCAAGCGATTCTCCTGCCTCAGCCTCCTGAGTAGCTGCCATTACAGGCATGCGCCACCATGCCTGGCTAATTTTTGTATTTTTAGTAGAAACGGGCTTTCACCATGTCAGTCAGGATAGTCTTGAACTCCTGACATGGTGATCCACCTGCCTCGGTCTCCCAAAGTGCTGGGATTACAGGCGTGAGCCACCCCACCGGGCCTATTTATTTATTTTTTGAGATAGAGTCTCGCTCCTGTCACCCAGGCTGGAGTGCAGTGGTGCGATCTCAGCTCACTGCAACCTCTGCCTCCCAGGTTCAAGCATTTCTCCTGACTCAGCCTCCCAAGTAGCTAGAACTACAGGTGCCCACCGCCACGCCTGGTTAATTTTTGTATTTTTAGTAGAAACAAGGTTTCACCATGTTGTCCAGGCTGGTCTTGAATTCCTGACCTCAGGTGATCCACCGGCCTCGGCCTCCCAAAGTGTTAGGATTACAGGCATGAGCCACTGCACCCAGCCTAAAAAATTACTCTTGACTGGAGTTAAATAATTTCAAATTTTGCACAAAACTGGGACTTTCTTATTTTTAAAACTTTATTTATTTATTTATTTATTGAGATAGAGTCTTGCTATGTCACCCAGGCTGGAGTGCAGTGGCATGATCTCGGCTCATTACAAACTCTGTCTCCTGGGTTCAAGCAATTCTCCTGCCACAGCCTCCCAAGTAACTGGGACTACAGGTATGTGCCACCACACCTGGCTAGTTTTTGTATTTTTAGTAAAGACGGGATTTTACCACGTTAGCCAGGCTGGTCTTGAAATACTGACCTCAGGTGATCTGCCCACCTCCACCTCCCAAAGTGCTGGGATTATAAGCATGAGCCACTGCGTCTGGCCAATTTTTTTTTATTTTTATTTTTATTTTTGGACGGAGTCTCGCTCTGTTGCCAGGCTGGAGTGCAGTGGCATGATCTCAGCTCACTGCAACCTCTACCTCCCAGGTTCAAGAGATTCTCCTGCCTCAGCCTCCCAAGTAGCTGGGACTACAGGCACGCACCACTACGTCTGGCTAGTTTTTGTATTTTTAGTAGAGACGGGGTTTCACCATGTTGACGGGGTTTCACCATGTTGGCCAGGATGGTCTTGATCTCTTGACCTCGTGATCCGCCCGCCTTGGCCTCCCAAAGTGCTGGGATTACAGGTGTGTGCCACCGCAGCCGGCCCATGTTTTTAATTAAAAAAAAATTTTTTTCAGAGATGGGGTCTCACCATGTTGCCCAGGCTGGTCTTAAACACCTGGGCTCAAGTGACCCTCCCACCTCAGCCTCCCAAAGTATTAGGATTACAGGTGTAAGTCACTGTGCCTGCCAAAGCTGGGACTTTCTTAATAGGCCGGTTATACTATTTCAAATATTCATTATTCTTTGTTTGTTTTTGAGACAGGGTCTTGCTCTTTTGCCCAGGCTGAGTGCAAGTGGTACGATCAGGGCTCACTGCAGCCTTGACCTCCCAGGCTCAAGTGATCCTCCCACCTCAGCCTTCCAAGTAGCTGGGACTACAAGCACACACCACCACGCCTAGCTAATTTTGTTTGTTTGTTTGTTTGTTTTTTGTAGAGACAGTGTCCCTCTGTGTGCCCAGGCTGGTCTCGAACTCCTGCAGTCAAGCTATGCTCCCACCTCAGCCTCCCAAAATGCTGGGATTACAGGCGTGAGTCATATCACTCTTGAGAGCCTTGTTATTCCAACTTATGTAAAATATGAGCATATCATAAAAGGGCAGTATTTATTTTAAAAGTTTTGGGTGAGAGAGCCTCTTTACAACTAGAAAACTAAAAGCAGAAATGTTTAACAGAGCCTGGGCGCAGTGACTCATGCCTGTAATCTCAGCACTTTGGGAGGTCGAGGAGGGCAGATCACCTGAGGTTGAGAGTTCAAGACCAGCCTGGCCAACATGGTGAAGCCCTGTCTCTACTAAAAATACAAAAACTAGCCAGGTGTGGTCGTGGGCACCTGTAGTCCCAGCTACTTGGGAGGCTTAGGCAGGAGCATCACTTGAACCCAGGAGGCAGAGGTTGCAGTGAGCCGAGATGCACCACTACACTCCAGCCTGGGCGACGGAGCAAGACTCCATCCAAAGAAAAAAAAAAAACAAGAAATGTTTAACAGAAAGTCTCACACAAACCCACAGCTAACATCATACTGTATGGGGAAAACTTGAAACGTTTTCCTCTAAGATCTGGATCAAGACAAGGATGTCCACTTTCATCACTTTTATTCAACATAGTCCTAGAACCGCTAGCCAAAGTAATTAGGAAAGAGAAAGAAATAAAAGACATCCAAATTGGAAAGGAGGAAGTCAAAGTGTCCCTGTTTGCAGTTGACATGATATTATGTGTAGAAAACCCTAATGACTCCACCAAAAAAACGGTTAGAACCGATAAACCAATTTAGTAAAGTTGCAGGATGCAAAATTAACATACAAAAATCAGTAGTGTTTTTTTATACCAATAATGAACTATCCAAAAAAGAAATCAAGAAAATCCCATTTATAATAACTAATATATATAAATATATATAATCTAGGAATACATTTAACCAAGGAGGTAAAATATCTCTACAATGGAAACTATAAAACACTGATGAGTAGCCGGGCGCGGTGGCTCAAGCCTGTAATCCCAGCACTTTGGGAGGCCGAGACGGGCGGATCACGAGGTCAGGAGTTCAAGACCATCCTGGCTAACACGGTGAAACCCCGTCTCTACTAAAAAAATACAAAAAAAAACTAGCCGGGCGAGGTGGCGGGCGCCTGTAGTCCCGGCTACTCGGGAGGCTGAGGCAGGAGAATGGCGTAAAAACCCGGGAGGCAGAGCTCGCAGTGAGCTGAGATCCGGCCACTGCACTCCAGCCTGGGCGACACAGCGAGACTCCGTCTCAAAAAACAAAAAACAAAAAAAAAAAAAACACTGATGAAAGAAATTGAAGAGAATACAAATAAATGGAAAGATATTCTGTGTTCATGGACTGAAATAATTAATATTCTTAAAATGTACATACTACTCAAAATGATCTACAGATTCAGTGCAATCCCTGTCAAACTTTAAATGACATTCTTCACAAAAATAGAAAAAAATTAATTCTAAAATTTGTATGGAACCACAAAAGTTCCCAAATAGCCAAAGCATTCTTGAACAAAAAGAACAAAACTGGAGACATCACACTACCTGAGTTCAAAATATACTATACAAAGCTATGATAACCAAAATAGCATGGTATTGGCATAAAAATAGACACATAAGCTATAGACACACTATAAAAATGGCACTGAATAGGGAACACAGAAAGAAATCCACACACAGCCAACTGATTTTCTGTGATGGTACTAAGAACATACATTGGAAAAAGGACAGTATCTTCAATAAATGATGTGGAGAGAACTGAATGTCCATATGCAGAAGAATGAAACTAGACACCTACCTCTCACCATATACAAAAATCAACTCAAAATGGACTAAAGACTTAAATGTAAGATCTGAAACTATAAAACTACTGGAAAAAAAAACATAAGGGAAATACTTCATGACATCGATCTGGGGAAAGATTTTTTGGATGAGAACTCAAAAGCACAGTCAGGCGCGGAGGCTCATGCCTGTAATCCCAGCACTCTGGGAGGCCAAGGCAGTGGATCACCTGAGGTCAGGAGTTCAAGACCAGCCTGGCCAACATGGCGAAACCCCATCTCTACTAAAAATACAAAATATTAGCCAGGCATGGTGGTGAGTGCCTGTAATCCCAGCTACTCGGGAGTCTGAGGCACAAGAATCGCTTGGATCCAGGAGGCAGAAGTTGCAGTTAGCCGAGATTGCACCATTGCACTCCAGCCTGGGTGACAGAGTGAGACTCCCTCTCAAAAAAAAAAAAAAAAAAAAAAAAGGCCTGCTGGTGCAATGACTCACACCTGTAATCCTAGCACTCTGGGAGGCTGAGACAGGCGGATCACGAGGTCAGGAGATTGAGACTATCCTGGCTAACATGGTGAAACCCCGCCTCTGCTAAAAGTACAAAAAATTAGCCGGGCGAGGTGGCGGGCGCCTGTGGTCCCAGCTACTCGGGAGGCTGAGGCAGAAGAATGGCGTGAACCCAGGAGGTGGAGCTTGCAGTTAGCTGAGATCATGCCACTGTACTCCAGCCTGGGCGACAGAGTGAGACTCAGAAAAAAAAAAAAAAAAAAAAAAAAAAGAAAGCACAAGCAACAAAAGTAAAAATGGACAAGTGGAATTACATCAAACCAAAAACCTTCTGCACGGCAAAGGAAACAATCAACAGAGTGAAAAGACAACCCACAGAATGGGAGAAAATATTTACAAACTGCATCTGAGAAGGAGTTAATATCCAAAATCGATAAGGAATTTAACTCAATAGCAAAAAATAAATAATCCAATTTAAAAATGGGCAAAAGACCTTAATAGATGCTTTTCAAAAGAAGACACACAAATGGCCAATAGGAAAAATGTAGGCCAGGCGTGGTGGCTCACGCCTGTAATCCCTGCACTTCGGTAGGCCAAGGCAGGCGGATCATGAGGTCAAGAGACTAAAACAATCCTGGCCAACATGGTGAAACCCCATCTCTACTAAAAATACAAAAAGTTAGCCGGGTGTGGTGGCGGGCACCTGTAGTCCCAGCTACTCAGGAGGCTGAGGCAGGAGAATGGCCTGAACCCGGGAGGCGGAGCTTGCAGTGAGCGGAGATCGCACTACTTACACTTTAGCCTGGGCTCCATCTGGAAAAAAAAAAATTAGCCGGGCGCGGTGGTGGGTGCCTGTAGTCCCTGCTACTCGGGAGGCTGAGGCAGGAGAATTGCTTGAACCCGGGAGGCAGAGGTTGCAGTCAGCCAAGATCACACCACTGCACTCCAGCCTGGTGACAGAACAAGACTCTGTCTCAAAAAAAAAAAAAAAGAAGAAGAAGGAAAGAAAGAGAGAGAGAGAGAGAGAGAAAGGAAAGAAGACTTCAAGGAAAATATTTGTTCTTGAGGAGCTAAGAAGATAACTAGATAAACATATGCAACTCTGTTTCTCTGTCTCTTGCATACCCTTCTATGTAAGGGAACAACAGTTCTTTTCAACATCCTTTAATGTATGCCACCTCTTGAACACACAATACCTAAGAAAATCTGTTCAGTTTTAAAATTCATGACAATGAGTGGTTTCTTAATTATGCAGGGAGAAACATTTTGAGGCTGTCTTTGTATCTTGTTTTGGTGGTGATCATTTTTTTTTCATTCCCATGACTGCAGGAATATTGATCTCAGCGTTACTTTGACCATTAATGAATTATGATGGCAATAAGCAAAGATGCGCACCTCTAGCCTCCAGGGAGCTTAATCTTCTGCTACAACGTTTGCATTTGTAAGTCAGCACCTGTGTAATCTATATTCTATTTGTTATTCTCCTTTAATTACCTATTGGTAGTGGTCCATTTGCAGGCTGGGAGCAACCAACTGGAGCATCAAAAAGATTATTAAAATATTGACTTTAAATTAAAAGGCCAAAAAGAAACAAGACAGGGTTTGTTTCTACCCATTCCGTTATGATGGTTCAGGAACAATTATTTCCTTTCATCTCAAGTTTCAAGAATTGTGCAAGGAACTCCCAAATGCCCTTTACATTCATTCATTATTTATATCTTGCCCCACTTGCTGTGTTCTTTGTATTATCTATGTAATCCATAGTTCAAATGTAAATTCAGATTTTCTCAATTGTTAAAATGATGTCCCAATAATTAATTATAAACGAATTTTTTCCCCAGATTAGGATCCAGTGTAGGATCATGCCTTGTACTGAGTTCCCATGTCTCCTTTGTTCCTTTAATATGGAGAAATTTCTCTGCCTTAGTTTTCTTAATTTGACTTTTTTTTTTTTCCTTTTGAGATGGAGTCTTGCTCTGTCGCTCAGGCTGGAGTGCAGTGGCGCAGTCTCGGCTCACTGCAACCTCCATCTCCTGAGTTCAAGCGATTCTCCTGCATCAGCTTCATGAAGAGCTGGGATTACAGGCATGCACCACCACACCTGGCTAATTTTTTGTATTTTTAGTAGAGATGGGGTTTCACCATCATAGTCAGGCTGGTCTTGAACTCCTGACTTCAGGTGATCCACCTGCCTTGCCCTCCCAAAATGCTGGGATTACAGGCATGAGCCAAGATCATGCCATTGCACTCCAGCCTGGGCAACAAGAGCGAAACTCTGTCTCAAGAGAAAAAAAAAAAAAAATTGACCTGGATATTTTTTGCCTGGTCATGTATAGCTCTTTTTGGAATAAGAAAAGTCTTGCTATTTTATAAAAAATGAACTGTCTTTGGTTTGGTAGTGTGGCATAGAATATCTTAGAGGGGTAAGTTATTCATCATTCAGTTCTGGATATTTTCTAATTTCTTTTGTGATTTAGTCTTCATACCACAAAATATTTAAAACTGGGTCACTTAATTTGTGAATTTTTTTTTTTTTTTTTTTTTTTTGAGATGGAGTTTTGCTCTTGTTGCCCAGGCTGGAATGCAATGGTGTGATCTCAGCTCACTGCACCTCCATCTCCCAGCTTCAAGCAATTCTCTGTCTCAGCCTCCCAAGTAGCTGAAATTACAGGCTCATGCCACCACGCCCAGCTAATTTTGTATTTTTAATAGAGATGGGGTTTCATCATATTGGTCAGACTGGTCTCGAACTCCTGACCTTAGGTGATCTGCCCACCTCGGCCTCCCAAAGTGCTGGGATTACAGGCATGAGCCACCATGCCAGACCAACTTGTGAATTTTCTAGTTACCTTTTTCCTAATGGTATCTATATTTCTTTTTTTCTTTCTTTCTTTCTTTTTTTTTAGAGACAGGGTGTCTCTCTGCTGCTCAGGCTGGAGCGCAGTGGTGCGATCACAGCTCACTGCAGCCTCGACTTCCTGGGCTCCAGTGACCCTCTCGCCTGAAACCGTACTCCCCCTCAAGCAGCTGAGACTACAGGTATGTACCACCACACCCAGCTAATTTTTATTTTTTGTGGAGACGGGATCTTGCTTTGTTGCCCAGGCTGGTCTTGAATTCCTGGCCTCACGCAACCCTCCCACCTCTGCCTCCCAATGCACTGGGAGCCACTGTGCCCAGCCCTGTATTTCTATTACAAGTGATGTTTTAGCATCATTCTGTGAAGCCCAGGGAACAGATTCTGTATGATTTCAGTCATGTGAAAGTTGTTCAGACTTGCTTTGTTGTCCAGCATACATGAGTTTTATAAATGTTCCAAATACACTTGAAAAGGAAATGTTTTCTGTGGTTGTTGGTGGGAGTGTTCCTCTTGTCAATTGTGTCAAGTTTATTAACCTTGTTCAAGCCTTCTGTATTGTTCATGATTTGCTTATTTTTTGCTTGTTTTGAGTGTTTGCTTATTCTATCATTTATTGAGAGAGGGGGTGATAAAATCTCTCACTGAAAGTATGACTTCGTTTCTTTCTTCAGTTTTTGCTGTATACATTTTGAGGGCTAGGTTATTAGGGTGAATACAAATTTAGAATTCTTATATCTTCTGGTAAACTTAACCTTTATCTCATAATAAAGTTTTTCTATTTATCTTTAGCAATACTTTCTGCTTTAACCACTAATTTAATATTAATATAGCTACACCTTCTTTCTTCTGGTTAATACTTGCATCGATTTGTTTGTTTGTTTGTTTTTGTTTTGTTTTTTTGAGACGGAGTCTCGCTCTGTCACCCAAGCTGGAGCACAGTGGCGCCATCTCCGCTCACCACAACCTCCGCCCCCTGGGTTCCAGCGATTCTCCTGCCTCAACCTCCCCAGTAGCTGGAGCAGCTGGGATTACAGGCACTTGCCACCATGCCTGGCTAATTTTTGTATTTTTAGTAGAGACGGGGTTTCACCATGTTGGCCAGGCTGATCTTGAACTCCTAACCTCAGGTGATCCGCCTGCCTCGGCCTCCCAAAGTGCTGGGATTACAGGCATGAGGCACTGCGCCCGGCCCATCCTTATTTAACCCTTTGCCTTTTCCTAACCAATTACTTTCAATCATTTTGAACATTTTATATGGCTTTCCTTAATTTTTTAATATTTCCTTTACATATATTTTTGCTGATTTTAAAAAATTAAATTATAGACATTGTGACTATTCGAACCAATATATCTCAAAAAATAATTCCCTAATATCATCTAACACCGAGCGCACACTCAGCTAACTCCAGTTGTTTATAATGTGACTTTTAGAACTGTGTGTGTTGGCTGGGGGCGGTGGCTCCCGCCTGTAATCCCAGCACTTTGGGAGGCCGAGGTGGGCGGATCATGAGGTCAGGAGTTCAAGATCAGCCTGGCCAATATGGTGAAACTCCATCTCTACTAAAAATACAAAAATTAGCCAGGCATGGTGGTGCACGCCTGTAGTCCCAGCTATTCCGGAGGCTAAGGCGGAGAACCTTGAACCCGGGAAGTGGAGGTTGCAGTGAGCCAAGATCATACCACTACACTCCACCCTGGGCGACAGAGTGAGACTCCATCTCAAAAAAAGAAAGAAAGAAAGAAAAAAGAACTGTGTGTCATTGCATTTAACTGTATGGCTCTTAGTCTTTTAAAATATAAAATAAGCTAACTTAATTGATAAATTGTTATATCAGGAGTGACCATAGGAAATGAAACAGATATTTTAAAAATCACTTTTAAAAATATATAAGGAATATATTCAGTACCTCCCCTTTAAAAGAAAAATCAGAAAGATACAGAAAGTGGAAATAAGAAAAGAAATTTTTTATGGCTTTTACCAATTGTGAGCATGACTACCCTACTGATGCATTTATCTGTCTAGCTCCTTATCTGTCAATACTTTTACATGGTAAGACCATTCTGTATGTAATTCTGCATTTATGTAGGCAGTTTTATATCTTGCTTGTATCTTCAAAATTAATATGATTGTAATTTTTTTTTAAGAGACAGCATCTCACTTTGTTGCCCAAGCTAGGCTGGAGTGCTGTGACATGATCATAGTTCACTATAGCCTCGAACTCCTAGATTTAAGTGATTCTCCTGCTTCAGCCTTCCAAGTAGTTGGAACTATAGGTGCATACCACTGCACCCAGCTCATGAAAAAAAAAAAAAAAAATTTTATAGAATGGGATCATACCACTGCACCCAGCTCATGAAAAAAAAATTTTTTTATAGCATGGGATCACTTGCATTGTTGCCCAGGCTGGTCTCAAACTCCTGGCCTCAAGCTATCCTCCCACCTCAGCCTCCCAAAGCACTGGGATTACAGGCGTGAACATTTAGAGTTTTTTCCAATTGTAATAGTTAATAAAAATGAACATATTTTTGAAGAAATTTAGTCTGCTTCACATTATAGCCTAATCCTAGACTCTGAAAAGTGGAATTTCTCCTTCCTTCCTCCCTTCCTTCCCCCCTTCCCCCCTTCCTCCCTTCCTTCCTCCCTTCCTTCCTTCCTTCCTTCCTTCCTTCCTTCCTTCCTTCCTTCCTTCCTTCCTTCCTTCCTTTTTCTTTCTTTTTGAGACAAAGTTTTGCTTTTGTTGCCCAGGCTGGAGTGCAATGGTGCAATCTTGGCTCACTGCCACCTCCGCCTCCCAGGTTCAAGCAATTTTCCTGCTTCAGCCTCCTGAGTAGCTGGGATTACAGGTGCCCGCCACCACGCCCAGCTGATTTTTGTATTTTTAGTAGAGATGGGGTTTCACCATGTTGGCCAGGCTGGTCTCCGACTCCTGACCTCAGGTGATCCACCAGCCTCGGTCTCCCAAAGTGCTGGGATTACAGACGTGATCCACTGTGCCCGGCAATGAAATTTCTTAAAGCAAAGGCTTAACCTCTTTTAAGGCTTTCCGGAAAATTGTTCCAAACTTTTAAAATTCCAGTGAGCTAAAGTTTACTACATTGAGATTGATGTCCTCGTCATAGCAGACACAGCCTGCGAGGCTTCACGGATACTTGTTTTGGACACCCGTCGTGGAAGCTGAAGATGTCAGATACTTTCCCAGGATCTCTTGAAGCAGGGGCACTGCCCTGCGACCTGGGATAGACCAGTCTAACTGGCTTTCTCCAGACTGCGGCAGAGGCTGTTTATACAAAGAAGCCCAGTAGAGAATCCCTTTGGGGGATGCCTGTAGTGGCAGGAGCTGAGGGGTGCTGCATCTGATGCACAGAGCTGAGGTGGTGGCCATGAGGTCCAGCACTCAGCACTTGTGGCAGTGGTGTCCTCACCAGTAAGGGCTTGGGCATGATTTTGGCTCTGGCTGTGACTGATTCTAGTTTTTCTTCTTCTTGCCCATTTACTGAGCCTGGTTGTCTAGCCTTTCCTGATCTTCTTTCAAGTCCCAGTATCCTTCAATAAATTACTTTTCTATTAAAACTAGTCAGTTTGATTCTATTGCTTGCAAAGAAGAATGTGATGAATCTTCTATACAGGGATTCTTCTTCTGTGTAGCAAGGCCCATTTCAAATAGCAGGAGAACTGGCGTGCTGAAGGAGTGCCAGGGCGATCCAGAGAGCTCAGTGTGGTCACGTGTCAGGGCCGGGAGTTGGAAGAGCCCAGGTCAGTGAACTGGGACGATATTGGAATCTGAAGGTAAAAATAGCTTCTTAAGAAGTTAACATCAGCCAGGCGCAGTGGCTCATGCCTGTAATCCCAGCACTTTGGGAGGCCGAAGCCAGTGGATAACAAGGTCAGGAGATCGAGACCATTCTGGCTAACACGGTAAAACCCCATCTCTACTAAAAATACAAAAAATTAGCCGGGCATGATGGCATGCGCCTGTGGTCTCAGCTACTTGGGAGGCTGAGGCAAGAGAATCACCCAAGAGGCAGAGGTTGCAGTGAGCTGAGATTGGACCACTGCACTCTAGCCTGGGCGAC